AAAATTTTTGAGTGAATGATCCTATAAGTAATGTGTGCTAGCAAATAAGAAGAGTATATGCTTTCTTGATAATTTGATTCATATTTGAACTTGTTAGGAGAAGGAACAAAGAAGAAAAGACAAGACAATTAGCTTGGTCAAGTCTTTAGAATTGATTCCAAGTCAGTCGTTGTCTCAGTGAATTGTGACCAATTGTTTATACACCCTTAAGGCCAATCTTTATTACATGTCTTCTTATAAACAAACTCTAATGTGTCCCTTAAAGAGTTTAAACTTAATTGCCATCAACTTTTTATACTCTAGTATCTAAATTAATTATTTACTTTTAATAACAATTGTTTAAGACAAATGTTAAGACTTACGAAATTATCTTATTCAATTATCTTATATGATATGATCGTATTCTATTAAATATTCTTTTCATTAGTGTTAAACCTCTCGCCTTGTTAAATTATCAAACTACCATTATTTACTTGGACCAAGCCCAAAACAATTATTTTGGTTCACAAATTAAACACCTTCTGGGTAGTATTCAGTGTTAAATTATAATCTATTTAGATACTCTCTAAGTAATTTTAAATAATTAATATTTGATTATTGAGTCCCAAACTTAAGTTAACAAAGTAAATATTTTAATTAGTTAATCAACCTCAAATCGTGAAACTTGAAGATTGCATACATATACCATTCTTCTAATATCTTAAGGTGTTTGCATCCATGGCATTTTTTGGATAGGGGGTTTATGTTTTGGTTTTCTTCTGTAATTGTTCTCTTTTTTTATAAAAAAAAAAATGTGTGATATAATTGGATACAAATACAAAAATGAAACATAATATTCTATATTAGTTTAGAATAATTTCATGAAACTAAAATTTCCAAGTAATTTTTGTTTATGCTTTTGTTAAGTAAAATATCCCTTTAATTTTGGTATGATAAAATTCATCCCAACATTCATTAAGGCCATGTTTGGATCAACTATTATTTATGAATTATTTGGAAATTCGTAGTTAACAAAATATTTCATTAAATATATAATTTCAATTTGAATTGAAACAACATACTTAAAGTTTCATTAATATTACTAAATCTAAAATAGATATTTGTTTCTACTTAAAATTTTCTATCGAATCAAATTTTATAATTTTTTAATAACATTTTATTTATTTATTTATTTATTTTGATTTTAATAAGTAAGTAGTTTTGATTTTTTCAGAAAACTGTATTGAAAAAAGAAAAAAAGTAAACTAATCAAATTTTTGTCAAATTATTTTTTTGGGGGTAGAAATGGAAAGGCACCAAAACATCCATTCATCATATTACTTGCATTTCCATGGAGAAATAGACACCTCCATGGCCATCTTTAAGACCACTAAAAAAAAAAATCAAATATAAAACCTTGGAGTTTTCTCTGCAACACAAATTTTTTTTCTGCCATGAAAAGCTAAAACCTTCTTTTGGGGATTAAAATTCAATTATTGTAAAAGGGCTATGGCTTTTCTTCTTCCAAATCTCTCGCAATCTCTTCTCCTTCAACCCAATAAATCCTCCAGAGACAAACCCATTACTCTACCCCCTTCTACTAATCACACTCTCAATCCTATCACCGACTCTCCCTCTCCTCTTCCTCTCACCACCGTTCAGTCCCCTCCTCTCCAGGGTACGCAGCTTAACGCCCCTTCTAGCAAACCAGATAAGCGCCAACACCAGAAAGATGACTTCTACGTGAACCTCGGCATAGCAGTACGGACGCTTCGAGAAGATTTGCCGTTTCTCTTTACCCGAGACCTCAATTATGATATTTACAGGTAATTTTCTCATCTGGGAATCTCTTGTTTTATGGAAAGAAAGTCTTTTCTCTTTGGGGAGAAAATACGGGATTCTAGTTGAATTTGTTGGGTTTTTCTCTTTTTGTTTTCAGGGATGATGTAACATTCGTGGACCCCTTGAATACATTTACTGGTATTGAAAACTACAAATTGATCTTCTGGGCATTGAGATTTCATGGGAAGATACTGTTTAGAGAGATTTCTCTAGAGGTCTATAGGATTTGGCAACCATCAGAAAACGTTATATTGATTAGGTGGAATTTAAAGGGTATCCCTAGAGTCCCATGGGAGGCTAAGGGGCAGTTTCAGGGTACTTCAAGGTATAAATTGGACCGAAATGGAAAAATTTATGAACACAAAGTTGATAATTTGGCCTTCAATTTTCCTCAGTCACTTAAACCGGCTGCTACGGTTTTGGATTTTGTGAGTGCTTGCCCTGCAAGTCCTAATCCAACGTTTTTGTTGGGGCCTGTGGATGTTCACTCATCTTCCTGGGTGGAGTTTTATAGGGCAGTGAGGGAGACATTGGATCAACAAGGGTATATGCTTGTGCATGATGGGTTGGCTAGCTGTTCATAGGTTAGTGAGCTGCGACACTAGTATTGTATACCATCAAAATTTTATCAAATACATCTTGTGTTACCTCATTGAACATAGTACAATTTATCGATAAGTAGAAAATAATGGATTTAGTTGAATGCACATAGGGCAGGGTTGCTGGGAAGTCCAATATTATTTCTTGTGTTGATGTGAAGGGACAGAACCTTAGAATTTACACGAGCTGGATATGTATGTATAATACTGAATATGGCTTAAAAGTAGATTTTATTTCGTATAAAGAAAAATGAACCTCTCAATTTTGTTTTAACCCTATTTTCTCTTTAGAAGAGTTGGGAATTTTGGTCTTACATTTTATATTAATGTTACAATGGTTTTGGCATGGGAAGCTTGTGAGGAGAAAAATCATGTAATACTATTTCCATTTCCAAGTTCGAAAGCAAGAAAGTGTTTGCTTCAGTAGTAATCAGTTGCATAAGCTCTGTAAAGCGTTGTGTGACATTTGGTAGAAAACTAGTTTCATTAACATAATCAATCTTCTTGTACCTTTTGGGTGGTACTTTTCATTTGCTTGTTGGTTTGTTTTCTAGTGATTGTATTCTTTGAGCACTATATTCACTATTGTCATTGCTTCCTAATGTTCCTCTAGAGCTTTTGATTCTTTAGCATGATTTTCAGTCATCAACTATTGAGAATTTTCCTTCCTCCTCAGAAGCCAGGAAACTTGTCTTGATAATTAATTGGATTGGGTTTATTAATGCCCTGCTATCTAGTGATGGCTCACTTGAAAGTGATCTACTTGGACTGATGATTTGAAGTTCCCCATAATCACATATGAGAATTAGGTCCTGTTTATGGCAGCTTTGGGCTTTATTTTGTGAATTTTTAGCAAAGCCAGAACCAAAATCTGGTCTCAGTAAGTCTAAACAAAAAGGGTGCAATTTGTAGCTTCTGAAATGATTTAGCTGCCCACAGATTTTGGGAACATGATTCACGCGTCTTTTAAGTATCTCTTTGTGCACATGAAATCGTGTTTTTTGTTGATTTGTTGAAGTTTCTCTTACACACCAAGAACTCATAAAATAAGGCTCAAGAGATCTCTCCAAGGTAATTTATACAAATACTACAGTGCTAATCAAACTTAGATGCTATATAGAGTTTGGTTGCAATCACAAAATGACTCTTTTTTTCCTGTGTGTGTTTATATGGAGTTGTTCTCAAATTTTCCTCTCATAAAACCATCCAGTAAGGGGCGGGTTTCTTCTCTCAATTCTCAGACCAAGAAGTTCAAAATGCAATAGAGAAAGGAGGGTTATATGTTAGAGATAAACATGATATATATGGAAAATGATGAGTTTTCTTAAATGCATGTGGGTTTAAAGTTAAAACTTGAGCCTTCTCTTGAAAGGAAATTTCCTCCTACCAAGAAATTATATTATTGCATAGAGTAATAAAAATGTATTTGGATTACTCTTTCTTACCAATATGATGAACACCAATTGTGTTAAGCCAATAAAACCTATACATTTAAACAGGTTCATCCTTGATGTAAAAGGTGGTTGCTCATTCGCCAAAGCCCAAGAACTTGCTTGAAACTAGTATAACATAAACATATATTATATTGCAAAACCAAACGCCACTTAAATGATATTAGCATGAATTTTTGTTTTCCCAAATATAACACTATTCTACCAACAAATCCAGCAGATCACTCTAACAATCAACTCCCAATCAATTCAAATCCAAATTTTTTCAAAACATAAAACCAACAGTCAACAGGACACTTATACAAACAAACAAATTTGCTATGGCACTAA